GCATAAGATGTACCTTGTCCAGAGTTGTTGTTAACCCCCTGGTTAGAGTCGCCATTGAAGTTTTTACCCTGGCTTTGTGTATTGTTCCTGTACTCCTTATCAAATCGATGGTAGCACGTTAGTGCTGAATGTCCAGGTTTACCACACACCTGACAAATTTGCCGACTATTGTTGTTGTTCCACTGTCCTCTACCTCAATTTCGACCACCCCCCCGATTGTTGTTGAATGGTGGCTGAGAGTTTTGATTTTGACGTTGGTTTCCACCACTTACACTTCTGCTACTATTAGCCATATTCACAGAAACAGAGTTGTTAAAAGATACTGTATTTTTATGAGAATTCTAAAGTTCTAACCTCTTCTCAAATACCAACAATTCGGCTTGCATTTCAGGCCACGAAATGCCTCGTTTTCCTTGGATCGTTGCTACCACAGGATTATACTCTTCATCTAATCCCAGCAAAACTTGAGAAATCAAAGATCGAGTGGGTACGGGGCTTCCAGCTTGACCCAAATTGTCTGCATGAGACTTCATAACACGCAAAAAATCAGTCATTTTAAGAGAACCTTTTCGAGTTTGTTGAAATACTTGACGGAGATAATCTTCTTCCGCCTGAGACTGTACTCCAAAGAGTTCTTGTATGGCAGCCCATAAATCACAAGCATTTTCGTACCCCATCACCTGTGTTGCAACTTCTGGAGTCATAGAGTTGTACAACCAACCAAGAAGTAGCTGGTCGGTAGTTACCCATGACTCATATAGTGGATTGATGGCTGCTTCTGTTGCTATAGAGGAACTCGATGGTGCAGATATGTTCGTTTGGCTTGTTTCCATATTACCAATCGACTGTTGCACAAACATGGGCGGGCATGGGTGCTCGCCGGAGAGGTGTCTCTCTAGTTTGTAACTTCGTAATATGGGTAAGGCTAGGTTTTTCCACAACAAGTAATTGGTTCTATCTAGCTTTATTGTGGTGATTTGGTTAAGCAATTGATTGAGTGGTGGGCTCCTAAAGGTGGGGTGGGTAGAGGTGTTGGAGGAGGCGTTGGCCATTACAGCTCTGATACCAAGTTAAAATTTCACAAGAGGAAGTTTCACAAAGAAGGTATGATGTTTATATTTCACTGTATTATGATAGCACTCAAAGGCTCTATTTATACAAAAGTATATCCTAAGTTTAGAAGAAAAAGAATCTAAACTTTAACAAAAATATTGTAACAAAAATGCACAATAATAGATATTCTTGTTTTGACTATGACGTGGTGTGTGGCTTCAACTTCCTTGCTGAAGTTACGTTAACAACTTGTATATAAGCCAGAAGGACTTCCAATATCATATAATTACGAGAGAAAGTTAAATGATCAAACTTTTCGAGTAAGAGTATCTCTTTGGGGCCGTTTATTTTTTGGGAATGTAGATGTCCGACATCTTCACATGCCTAGAATCTTATATGCCCGGAATTTTAGATATCCACAATTTCATATAGACACGTTTGTTTGGTAAGAAGGATTTATTTGTGGGAATATTGTAAATTTATATAATGTTCCAAAAATGTCTGGTCATCTTATAATTTATATGTTAAATTTAATATTATTTGAATCCATAAAAGAATTTTATTTTTATTAATTTAATATTACATTTTTATGTCAATTTTAGTTTATGTTTGGTGATTATTGGGAGAGTAAAATAAACGAAAAGATTGTACCCTTGATTTGAATTAAAAATAAATTAAGATATTATACTATTGACTAATGTTTATATTATATCTAAATGTAGCATATAAATAAAATTGTATTTAGACATTTATTAATGAATTAGTGCATACGTTTATTTTTAAAATAAAATAAAATAAATGATGAAAAAATATTATTGATGAAAAAAAATTATAGAACAAAAATRATGAGGGACAAAATTGTCAAAAGAAGATGCAAGACCTATGTTATAGGAGGACATCTAAAATTTTGTTGAGATGTCTCATGTATAGGCATCCTAGGATGCCCGRGCATAAGAATGCCTGAATATCTAGRAATGTTCGGGTATCCAACATTCCTATAAAATAAATAGGGGAATCTGGATACATCTCATGGGAGTCTTTCTTAGATTTTTCAGGAAACAAACGGCTAGAGTTTCACTAGGAGATGTAAGTTTATAAAGGAAAAAAAAAAACTTTTTTTTTAGTATAAAAGATAACCTTTTTTAGTACAAACAAAAAAAGAAAAAAAAACTTTGTACCTTGTGAACTTTTAATTATTCAGCCATAATATTCCTTTTGAAGAAGTTAATCAGGCATAATAAAAGTAGAAAATATTGGCTAATTAAAATTTAATATTAAATTATAGTTAATAATGATTTTGTTATCATTAGCCTGTTGATTGACCTTTGGAATAATAAACCATTGACCATATTATTTACCACTGTTGTTTTACCTTGTTCATTAACTTCAAAATTGTGCATCATTATTTAATGTACACATGGGTTTTTTTTCTTTTTTATTTTTTTATCAAATTTTTTTTCTGGGCAAATACTTGAAAAACCTGATATTCTTTAAATACAAAATCTAGAAATATCATTCCTACCAAAGGAAATAAAATGATTGAATATTACTTCTATAGAATGAATAAAATATCTATTTATGTTGATATCGTCACAAATATTTTTATAACTTGGAGAAATTTAATATCGATATTGGGAGTGAATTAATATTTCAAATTTACCACTAAAATATCATTGGGATATATAAATTATCGCCAACATTGATACATGTTTTTGACTATGAGATCACGAGTTTGAATCCCCCAACCCCAATTCTTTTAATATTTATTATTTCTAACTTATTTAGAAATGATAAAATGTTTATTTTTTAATTTAAATGGTTGTTACGAAATTTTTTATTTTATAACTTTTTCATAAATATATATTGACATCGACATTTTATTGATATTTTTATGAAATTGAGACCTTGRCGTCAACATTTAAAACCTTGACACTAACACATTTTTTTCATAGWTAAATCATAAATTAACTTTTCAAAGGAAGCACTTGAGTTATTGGTTAGATTAAATCATCCATYGAAGAATGTGAGACGCTTTAATTCAGGAGTGTTCTCTCGACTTACTCCACACGGTTCACTAGTTGTGGCGAGTCACATCATAATGCTACATGCCAAGTGAAATAGGTCAACACGAGACTCGTCCTCCTCAATTCAAGGATAAGGGGCATACTTTAATGTCCAAACGACGTCTCTATTCAAGTTCGACCTCAGCCTCAGAGAAACCTGACGAGTCTTCACCAATACAAAACTAAAAACTAATAATAAGATATATAACTTACTAGTTAAAATTTTTTTTAAAAGTTGTTTAATGTTGATAGCTTTTATTAATCAAATCCATCGACACATCAGTATGTTCATCAGTGTCTCAATTCACAATCACAGTGTCATTCTTGGAAAACAACACAAGCCCATATGGGCTGCCCTTTTTGACTGAATAGAAAAAGAAGCCACTTGTTTCCTTTTCATTGGTTCTCAGAAGGCTAAAAAAACTCTCAAAGAGCAGAAGAGAGAGAGAAGAAGAAGTTTTCAAGGAACAAGAAGTTGATATCTACAAATGCCTTTCACATCCATCTCCTTTAATTCAAATCCACATTTTTCTATGAACAGCAACTATTCAATTTTCCAACCAATACAAAAAGATAAAACAAAGCCCTTCAGAATATGGCATCATAACCAAGTCAAGGAGGGGCAAACCTCTTTCCCTGGACAACCTCTCTACCATGACCCAGTTTCAGAAACCCAACAAAAAAAAAAGTAAAAAAAAAGGAGGAAAAACAATGTTTTTGGGGCACATCGACACGGTAGCTACTTATACGAGTGAGGGTGGAAGGTGTTAATACCTAAACTTTTGCTGAAAATCCTATGTTGAGCAATGACTAGTTAAAGCTTGAGGAGCGGCTGCATCTCCCCTGCAAGTAATCCTCTATGGAAATGCTTTGTATTCCACTGCTGATAGAAAGTGAGTCATCTTCCAAGCCAAGCAAGGCCATGTTGAGGTGTGATTGGATGTTGGTAGGTAGAGGTTCTCCGTCRCTTGCGTCGAGTTCGTCTGATTCATCGATTTGTTGTCTTGCCCATGTTGTTATTTCCTCGTCGCCTTGGAGGAGTTTCAATACCTGCAGTTTTGAATAAAACAAATGAATGGGGGGAAGGGGAAAATGACACAACCTTGACAAGCATTGACGAGTGGAAGACGTYGAATGGGTTGTGCATTTAGTCGACGTACCAGACTGATTTGAGGGCGGAGTCTTGGCGCTCGTCTAATACAAAGGGTAGCAGCCAAAATCATTCGGCCTATTTGATCATGGTTGTAGTCACTGCCTAGGCTTGGATCTAGCAATTGCGAAACTTTGCCATCCCTCAAAATTGGCTTTGCCTATATTACATATGTTGGCATCGGTTATTCCATAGACAAGTTTGCCCGAGGTTCAGAAGAACTGAATTTATGACTACTCGTACATTATCCCGACATGGAACTAAAATGGAAGTTATTGTAGTCGAGGAGATCGAAACTTACCCACATTACAAGGCTCTCCTGCCCCTTGGGACAATCGTTGCTGATTGGCTTTCTACCTGAAAGTAGTTCAAGAAGTACCACACCAAATGCGTAGACATCGATTTTATCACTCACTTTTCCGTGCATGAAATACTCAGGAGCCAAGTAACTGCCATACAAGCGAATGTTACCAAGCACGCTCGAAAGAATACATTATCAACCATCACATTAAGAATATCTAACATGTCGAAAATGAAGAAAAACTTAATCAATGTGACATTTTAATACCAAGGAACAGACTGCATACCCGAACGTTCCAGCTACGTCAGTACAAGTGATATGGAAGCATGAGGATGCCCAACTCGCAAGCCCAAAATCAGAAAGCTGAAAGAGTAAACAGAACCTAGAGCAATCAAATGGAAGAACCCTTCTCCAAAACATACTAACTACAGTGATGAATATAAGCGCAGTTGAAATTCCTGGAGAGTTTATACATTTGTATGCAAAAGGAACATATCATAAAACCTGCGGTTCGAAATTCTCCGAAAGAAGAATGTTAGAGGATTTGACATCGCGGTGTATCACGGGCTCCTCCCTGCAATTATGTAGATAGTCTAATGCTTCAGCAACACCAACAGCAACCTTAAACCTCTCTTGCCAACCAAATGAATTTGCATCCTTCTTACAACCTTAAAGAAAATAAACCAGTTGGACAGTAAGAATATAGTAAAACATAAGTCACAGCAGTCTTCTTCATACACATGTACAGATCTTACCATGGAGATTCTCTTCCATACTTCCTCTTGAAAGAAAATCATAGACCAAGAGTAAATTATTGGCCTCCAAACAAAAACCTAATAAAGGTATAATATTCTTATGACTTGAAGTTGCAATGATCCCAACTTCCTGAACAAACTCCTTTAGCACATTCTCAGATGGCTTCAAGATTTTCACAGCAATTTCCTTCCCATCGGGAAGAAGCCCTCGATAAACATAGCTACTGCCTCCTTTACCAACCATATTCTCTAAAATACACATAAATAATTGTCAGAGAATCATCCAATCCAGAATAAGCCGAATGCGAGGATAAAAAGTTGAGAGAAGATTAGATACAAACCAGGCATAAAATTAGACGTTGCCGACGAAAGTTCCTCATAATTAAACAATCTGCAAGTGGATGAGTATTTATCCTTCAAATCCAGTACCTCTTTTGGAAGGCTTTCCAAAATGTGGTTGAACCCATATGGCACAATTGCTCCAATGTCTCCATCAATGGTSGAAGCCTGATCCTGATCAAAACTGCTCTGTTTCTGATCTGGATAAACTACGGCCGACGACTGGAAGTTCGATATGTGCAAAACACCATGAAGCCTTGAAAATTTCTTCGGAGGCTTCTCTGCTTGCTGCTTGGACAAAAATATCCGACGCAGAAGCGGCCAACTCGATTTCCATTGCGAAGGGTCTGGACTYACCATGGAATTCGACTTGGTAACTTCCGGAGGCCTTTGAAATGGTACCAAAGCCAATGAATCCCCCACATCAATGTCACCAGGCAACTCTTCCACCAAATTAGTCCCGGAATCATTKCGTTCAAGCAAAGACAGAGCACCCTCAACACAGTCCAGCTCCACATTGAATCCAGAGTCAGATTTCTGTAAACAATGATGACCCGTGACAAAATTTTCACCCAGCCCAACAGCTTTTGTTTCATTAGTTACTTCTACAATCTGGCTCAAATAGTTGTCGACCATGACCGCACAATTCTTGCCCCCATCCTTGTCTGCTCGATTAGGCAAAAAAGGGGGGAAATAAGAACCCATAATTCCTAAGCGGAAAATAAGAAATCACAGCCTAAAAGCGAAATAAAAGGTCAAATAATTGGTACCTCGAGACTGGTCTTTGTTAGGGAAAGTTGCTAATCTCTGGAAAATAATTTTGCCATTATTAACCGCTAAAACACTGAATCTGTTCGACGATTTTCTTGCGCAGTACTTAGCAACCGAGGCCGATGAACGGATTCTATGGTGGGATTTAGAAGTACCGAGAATCAGTGAAGCCTCGTCGTAAGAATCCAATTCCCGTCTAATGACTTTCCGGACCGGCGAGCCTCGGCAGACCTTGAGCTTCAAGTCGACCTGAACAACAATTTCACACTCAAAATTCCACCACAAAAAAAGAAAGAACACTCTCGATTCACAAAAATCCTCGAAATCCGAAGAACAGCTGAGTTTAAGAAGACAGAACCTGCTTGAGGTGACAGAATCCTTCGTAAGCGGAGAGTACAGAGTCAAACGACTTGACCAGAGAGAGCAACGTCGATTTCCCCTCTGCAACTGAAGCTCAACACCAGAAATTCCACACTCAGAACAAGGGGAAGCAACGAGAGAGAGAGAAAAACGAAGAGAGAAAGCAATTACCGGCGGAAGAATCAAGGACATGAAGAGCAATGACGCAATCGCCGGGCTGCGCCACTTTGACGAGCGCCCAAGTGAGGAGTTCCCTACTGTGGGGGTCCATTTTGACCCCGACCACCACCACTCGGGGGCCATCGCCGGCTGGCTCTCCGACCACCATAATCGGCGGCGCGTCTCCGTCGTCGGAGCTTGGAAATGGGTTTTTTCAGAGGAAGGAAAAAGGTTGAGGCGCGACAGAAGCCATGGGAGAAGGAACAGAGAGCATATGTAGTGGTAAACGGGAAATGGGAAATGGGAACTGGGAAAGGAAAGAAAGCAAAGAAGCGAATCATAAGGGAGAGCAATCGTGGTTACTGCTGCTAACTGTATTAAGAGGTTTTTTTCCTCTACTTCTCTTCTTACTCTACAACTCCCTTTTTCTCATCCTAACCAACGCATTGATCTAAGATGGATCTCACGACCCGAGATCAAGGCACAAAAGGACGGAAGGATCTGGCAATAAAAACGTAGCAGGAACGACGACAACAACAAAACAATAACGAGAACAAGTGTCAAAACAATACAAACATAAACAGACTCCATCAAAATTTGGGCTCGAGAATCAACTGTCAACGCTATCTCACCAAGTAGTAACACAAACAGAAACATAACTGAAGCTTGAAGCTAGACTTGATATAGATGCACTTAAAGTCATTTATTCTATTTTCATCTCTAAAACTTTCATACTTTTTGTGATTTTTTTCATCCTCCCCTCATTTGTTAATTTGACTACAAGTTCGTGGTTAAATGTTTTTATCTTTCCTAAAGAGGGTAGGTTTGAATTTCTACTCGGAGACGATCTAGTCGCAGTTAAATTCTAAAGGTAGTTGGAGTCGATGTCTTTTTTTTTTCTATACTTTTGCAGCAAGAGCCTGAAAGCCTTATTTAATATGAAGGTTATTTACATTAGTAACGATAGGCGGTGAATATTATAGGGACTTTTGTCAAACTTAGTCATACAGTATCTTGTCCCTTTGAGTGGATTCTTTGCTATGTACACGGAGCATCAAGATTAGAATGACGTTGAAACAATAGAATTGTGGGCAAGTAGAGTGTGTTTTCGCTTCCCTTTCATTAGAAAATAATCTTCTAACTAATTCTACCTGGGAGACCAATTAGAGGCAATAACTTCCTATTATAACTTACAATTTCTTTTTGTCCTAATTCTTCTCAAAATTTTCAAAAGGGTATTAAATGTTTTGCTTTTGTTTACAAAGTTTGCATAAAAATACAACTTTATATCTTACCATTAATTCTTCTCTAATCGTCTAACAAGAACATTTTGAAACTTTAGAACTACTTGTAGGTTCAACACAAGTGTTCTTGTGTTGCCATCGAAATTAGCTTAGTTGGTTAAAGACATTAGTATTGTAAGTGTTAAAATTTTAGTTTTATTGGTTAATACAAACAAAAAAAAGGAAGAAGAAGAACAACACTTATGTGTGGATATCACTTGAACAAAATATGCGTTACATTTAGTTTGTAGAAAATTATTTTGAAGAAATTGTCAAAAGATTGAAATGGTCTATCATGCCAAGTTAAAAAATAATAATGAAATCTTAAAAATACAAAAAATACAAAAAAATAATAATAATAAAATTGAATGTTTATGGATGAAAAAAACACCCATAAAAAGTATGATTTAAGTCTAGAATTTATTTAGGAAAAAATTAACCCAAGGTTTAAAAGGCGATTTAATATTACAAATTATTTAATATTACAAACAAGTATTTTACTCTTCCCCCAAAAAATTAAAATTTATATTCTTTTACGGAGTTATTAATATTCATATTAGGGTGACATTTTGTTGATTTATTTTTATTTTATCAAAACTTTTTATCATATTATGRAAATGTTGATTTATTCCAATATCAAATCACTGTAGATATAGAAATTTCAATTTCAATGACAATGTCAATTTGTCGACCAAATAATAGTCGRAACACATTAAACATTTTATTATTGCAACTTAATATAATTATTTATATTTTTAAAATATCATTGTGATAAGGATTTGTATTAACGGTAGTCTGAAATAAGTTTGAACTAATGTAGTAATAATAATAATAATAATAATAATAAGTTTGAACTTTAAAATTAATTTATTACTTAAATAAGCATATTTATAAAATGTAAAAGTAATTATATTCTACCTTTTGTTTTGTTAAATTATTTAGTAAAGTATAATTCTTGATTTTTTTATTTAATGGCAAAATCATTTTCTACTTTGTTCTTTTAACTTTAAATATCATTCTCATTTAGTCTTTCCATTTCTAGATTTTTCCTTTCTAATTTGTTATTCAATTAGTGGGTCATTATTAAATCATAGTAATGGTATTACTTACTATTCCTTATTAAAAAAATACCTTTACAAATAAACTTTTAGATTTTATTTTTTAGAAAAATCATAATTAATTTGCACTTAWGGAAATGAAATAGAAGTTTTTACATATTGACTTTTCTTAATATTTATTTTRTAGATTTTTTTTAGTTCAGGCTGAAATTTCAAATTTCTAATCACTTTTGATTGATAGATGTGTTAATCAACGGAACTATCCTCAAGTTGTCATTTTTTCTCTGTATGATTGAACTATTGATTTTGGATATAAAATTGTACATATAAAGTAATAGATTTCATTAATGTCTACATATTTTTAATAATTTAATTTGATTGTACCATAATAAAAAGAAAAACAATTGATGTTAATATTAATAAAATTTCCTTTGAAAAAAAGAACATTAATGAAATTTTTTCCAATATTTAATTATCGTACAAATAAATATATGATCGAAAATCTATACAATTAGTTGACCCAAACAAAAAATCTATACAATTAGAGTGAACAATGAACATTGGTAGATTTAATGTATTATAATTACCTGTTTCAATTTAGAAACAAATCATCAAATACTAAATGAGCTTAGTTCAACTGATTAAGATAAAAAAAAAAAAAAAAATTAAATAAAAAATTATCGGAATTCACAGCCTAACCCACACAGCGTCGATTTCAGAAAGTCAAAAAAATATATATCATATATAAAAAAATTGGAGGTCGGAATCTCCACTCATTCATTTTTTAAATTTAAAATAAAACCATGAAATGATGACATGTAGCTAATCAACTTTATTTTAGTAAAATATTAGAATTTATTTATTAGTTTATGAAAGATTTTGTGGTCATAATACTTTGTCATTTAATATATACTCAAATTCATTAAAAAGAAATTAAACCGAAATTAACGACCAAAACACATGCTAGTGATCTATTATCCATTAAAAAGTCTGATATTTTCATACAACTTTTGAACCCTATTCAGTGGGAGGAACCGTTAGGTTCACAGGGTGCCGCAGTTTGTGGGTTTGAAGAGGGGGTGAAATTATCGTATAGGTTCACTTCGAGTGAGGCAAAATTAAAGAAACAATATGAGCCAACTACTCAGATCAAGTCAATTGGGTAGGACCACCCGATCCAAATTGACCAAACCAGATCGAGCTGATCTAATCTAGTTGAATCGGTCCAACTTGAGTCGAGCTAGGATGGCAAACCATCTATAATTAAGTCGGCCCCAATACATTATAAGAGAGATATTACTTTTTTAGTACCAACACGTGGAGGTGGAGATTCAAATTCACGACCTTTGATCGAGAGAGATTTCTTAACCAGTTGAGTTTATGCTCAAGTTAGGAGATATTGTTATTTTTTAAGTAAATGCTGACTAATAGTTTATCGCGTTAATTTTTATTTTATTAAGATGTTATCCAACACTTTAATGTGAGTTATTATTTTCTTTCATTATCTTGTTATTTTAAAATTCATCTATTATCTTTATAAAAAAAAAAAATCATCTATGTTGAGTTTCATAACCAAATCTTTTCTTATAATTTTTCTTAAAAGAAAAAATATCTTTTGTTATAATTAATTCTCTTAACAAGTTTATCAACATCTTCTTTAATATTGAATAAGCTTTTCTAGTTGTTCTTAGAATTTTTCTTAATTAGGTTCTTATTTTCACAGACACATTCAAGTTGAATAGGAAAAAATGGTAAATATGAACAATTAAAACCCACAAAAATGTCGTATTTAATTACAAAATATTAAAAGTAATATAATTTGAAAGAAGAAAAAGAAATATGATCATCAAACCAATAAATTTATAACCCTACAAACCTTAAAATTTTGATTCAATCTTGAGATGTTTGCTATTAGGTTATTATTGGTTAAATTTTCATGGAAAAAAGTACAATTTTTTTAAGGTAACTAAAATCAAGGCTCTATGATATTGATGTAAATGTTGTGATGTTAATTTTATGAAAATGTTGATAGAAATATCAATAAAATTCCAATGTTAATACCGATGAATATTTTTTGAAAAATTATAAAAATAAAAAATTCATACCAGATATTTAAATTAACAGATAAATATTTCACTATTTTAAAATAAGTTAAACACTAGGAATATTATATGTATATATTAGTGATATTCTATTAATATTTTCTCTATTTTAATTTTTTGTGATACTATGGAAATGTCGATTCAACTATTAAGTAGATGTTGAACTCATAGACATATGATCAACATGTTGATGAAATGAGACGGTAAATGATTATTCTGCTTAAAAAAACAGTTTAAAAAGTCAAGTTTTTTGCATTAGAAAAATTTCAAATTTTCTTTAGTCTCTGTCTAGATATGCATTATTGTTGCAATAATTTTCAAGAAATTTTTTGTAGAGGTTTCTTTTTTTTTCTTTTTTTTTTTTTAAGAATCTTTACCTAATTAGAATAAAGGGTTAATTATAATAGAAGTAGGTTTTAAATTTCTAACTTTTGTTAAAATTCCTTTTATAAGTATATGAAAACTATGTTTCAAACCAGCTTGTGTCTACATTTAATTATTCAAAGAATGAAAATTATTGGCATTATGAGCAAGTCGCGTGGATGAATTTGACACAAAGAAGATGAGAATGACCTAAAATCTTTCAACTCAAATACGAGCCCGATATGTAATTAATTTTTATTTTTTACGACAACATGTGGGATGAGAGTTCACGACCTATTATTAGAGATATGTGTCAATTACCGCTGAGCTATCGTTTTAGCTCTCGACATCTAATTTTGAGTATTAGATTCACTCCAAAAAAAAAAGCAATATATCGGTGTACTTAATTAAACTTCCCTTTGATGGTATTTTATCACAGTTAATTCCACATGAAATGATTGGACAAAGATGTTTATTTTAATGCCTATAATATTTATAACTAAAATTAAAAGCTATTTAAATATT